CGCCACGCCCCCCCCCACACCCACCCCCACACCCACACCCACACCCACACCCACACCCACACCCACACCCACACCCACACCCACACCCACACCCACACCCACACCCACACCCTTAGCTTGTAAACCGTATGATTTACCAGATCAAACAGCAAATAATATTCGTTTATTTACAAGTGCTATGCTACAGTCTTATGACTTAAAATTGGAGAAGTTAAAATATATAGTAAGTGACAATGAAAATAAAATGCGTGCATCGTTTAGGGAAGGTTCTGTTCGCGTGGAGTGTTCCACCCATTTTTTAAATAAGATTATCGAATATGCTTTGTCTAAACCTGATATTGATTGTGATGATATTCAAAAAATGTTTAATGATGTTCTTACTATTATCACATATATTCGGCGATCTCATAATCAATTAAAACTATCCAAACAATTACAAATTTTCTCGAAAACAAGATGGAACAGTGCTTATGATATGATATGTAGTTTTATCGAAGTGTATCCAGAATTAAATGATATTTTAACAGATAAAAAACAAAGAGAAATATTAGTTCAAATTGATTTTAATGATTTAATGGCTTTTACCAAATATTTTAAATATTTTGTCGATGTAAGAGAATTATTAAGTGCTGAAAAAGCATCAACAATTTATCTAGTCATAACATTGAAACAACGTCTAATTGATTTATCACAACAAGATGCTGCCGATTCACAAGCAATTAAAAACGTTAAAAATTATATTCGAAAAAAACTTTTAGATTATTGGGAAATTAATGATGTTCATTTTATTGCTGTTGTATTGAATCCGAAATTCAAACATTTACACATATGTTCAAATGAAAAAGATAAAAAAAAGGCATATGATTTGATTATAAAAGAAATAGAAAAACGTCGAGGTAAGTCACAAGTAAAATTGTAGAGACAAACATCTTTTTAAATGATTGATACGTAAAAAATCGTTTTATTCTTATATTTTAGCACAAGTACAAACAGTTGTACCAATTAATTTAATACCAAAGATATCATTGTCATCGTGAACAGAAAATAATCATTTACTATCATCATGTTATGATCAATCTGATGCAATACAAAATGAGACTGATGCTCATGATGAATTTGAACAATATTTAAAATCAACTGATTCATTATTACATGATGACGAAGATTTATTTATGCTTTGGGAATGACAAAAGAATTCGTACGCAATACATTATTCTATTGTTTGCGATGTTTTATTCGTACCGGCTACAAATACAGCTGGCGAAGGTTTATTCTCTGCTAGTGGAAATGCAGTAACTGAAACGCGTATACGTTTAGCAGCACAAAAGGTAGATAAATTAATATTCATAAAAAAAATTTTTTTCTTTCTAAAAAAATTTTTCGATGATAATGAAGCAACACCTTTGGGTGTTCTTGCTTCTGATACAACAGCAAGTAAAAGTAACAAGCGGTCATATGAACAATCATTCAAAGATGATCATGATTTTGAAGATACAATTAAGAGTGACAATGATAATAATGACATGTTTTAATATTAATAAGTATAAGAAAAAAAACAGTTGTGTCTATGATTTTCATGTATGTACATTTTTATGTATTTTTGATATTTTGATTTCACTTGTAGATATTTTTATTGTATTGTTATGTATTGAAAATAAATCTATTTAATAGTTATATAAGAATGAAAAAGTTGCTTTTTATTTATGAAGTCATCCTTTTACTCAAAACAATCTTCCGGGACCAACTAGAAAATGACTTCGGTCCCGCGGGACCGGGACCACTTTGCAGTTCCCTTCTTCTGCTAGCTCTCCAAAATGAATGACATCAGACTACATTTCAAAATAATAAAGAGAAGTAAATACCCGTTATCTGCCTTCTGCTAGCTCTTCAAAATGAATGACATTATACTACATTTCAAAATAATAAA